CTTCACTCTTCACACTTCACGCTTTCTTTTTGTGCGCCTTGCTGTGTGGTTGTGTATTTCTTTAGTGGACCTGACAGCCCTGCTTTAGTTAGAAAAGTTGCCTGACGATTGAAACTCAAGAAACTCGGAGTAGCAACGGATTGTGTATTCTTGGTGAGGACCGCTTCCATTGTATATACTTCGAAGTATATATATATATATAAATAAAAAAAGGAAATGAATTGTGGGCCATGGGGAGAGCGGTAAAGGTCGAACGCACCTTCTTTGAAGACTTTGATGTCCGGGTTTTCAACCCGTTTGCGGACCAGCCCTCCTCCATTTCTGCCACCTACGTTCGCCATGAGACGGGAGATCGAGCACGCTTCCTTTGAATAGTTGGTGCTCAGTTTTCTACCACCAGTGGCATGGGCGAGCGATCTGTCTCGCCATGCAAGCGTATTGCGTCGCTAAATGCTGAGAAAACCAGTAAACCGTATTAGGTTGTGATCCGCTCCTGTCTTGGCTTCGCTTTGCTCAGGGCCAGTGGCATGTGCTTGTTTGGTAGCCGCTCTGTTTTTGCTGTCTGTCTCTCGCGTGGCCACATCGACTTGCCTTTCTAGAGCCAAAGAACGTCACCTCCAGAGAAAAAGTAATAAACTGCTCTCGGGGAACATCCAGAACAAGGAGTGGTGGTCCGTGGTTAAGCGCACAGGTGGAAGTGGTCGGGACAGCACTATGCCTGTTCTTATTGACTCTGATGGACAGGAGCACACAGAGAACCGTGACAAAGCTGAGATCATGGGAAGCTATGTCGCTGAAAAAGGCAGCCTAGAGACTGACTTCAGCGATATTGCTACAGCCTTTCCCGATGTCAAACAGCGTTCACTACACAGAATAACAACAGTGCACTTTCGCCAATCTACTGTGAGGCGTGTGCTTAAAGCCATCAACCCGTCAAAGCATCTGGCCCTGACTCTCTCTCTGTTTCCGACAAGGCCACCAGCCATCTGCTTGGAAGGTGGCAAACGTCGTCCCGGTTACAAGAAGGGCTCAAGGTCCTGTGTGAAGGGCTCAAGATCCTGTGTGAAGAACTACGGTTCTATATCCCCTCTCACCATTATCTCCAAATGTATGGAAACCATAATCAACCGGAGTATTACGAACTTTCTCGATAGCAACTCCATTCTCTCTGCTCGCCAATATGGCTTCCGCTCTGGACTTGGCGCAACTGACCTCCTCCTAGCTCTTCAACACGAATGGAGCGGAGTTTCAACAGTGGAGGACTTCATCTCTCTTGCGGGCGTCCTCGCCGTGGATATTACTGGGGCGTTCGACAAAGTGTCGCACCCTGGTGTCCTGTACAAAGCTGAGCGGTATGGGCTCCAGGGACATCTTCTTGCCTGGCTCAAAAGCTACCTCACCAACCACAAGCTCCAGGCTGTAGGGAGCGGACAGTTCTCCTCTGCTTACCCCATCATGTCAGGCGTCCCCCAGGGTGGCATCTTGGGCCCGACTCTATTCCTTCTTTACACGAATGATGCTGAGGGTCACCACCTACCTGCTGGGGCCCAGCTTGCTGTATATGCTGATGACACCACCTTATAATTATTATTTTTTACTGTCGGCACTTCATGGCACATAATGAAAATAGCCAATCCTGTACAAGGAAGTGAGCGTGAAACCAACCACGGACTGAGCTGAGGGCAAGAAGTCAAATTAAAAAAAATTAAAGAGGAGCGTTACTTACGAAGCCTGAGTCTTGTTGAAAGCGGAAAGTGTCTCAGCACGTCGAAGACTATAGAAAGGGAGAGCCAAAATCGATATGCCATAAACACAGGTGAGTTAGAAACAAAGATAAACGAGGAGCAGGCAATCATCGATACTTGACTTCCAGTAGGTCTGTCACGCTGGAACCAGTCATACTTTTCCAAGTCGGTTGGGGAATTCGTTTAAGATAAATTCTATGAGCAAGGGTGCATAAGTGGGCTTGGCGGCGCTCACAGAGCGGAGATGAGGCGGTCCGAGAATATAATTGGGCACTGCTGAATAACTGAGGCAGTCCAAATAACCGTTTGATAATCTTTTTATGATGCGTTTCAAGTTTTGTATACAAGTGCATATCGACCCATACTGCCGTGCCCTAAGATATTTTGCCATACTCCAGCTTGCTGTAAATGCGCTGGCGGACTGAGGAATGGCCTGGCACATTAGGTTTGAACCTACACAGTCTCAGTCCTCCTGATTTCCCACCATCGCAACAGTCGTCGTCCCACCGATTGTATTCCATGGCACAGTTGTTCCAGAAGTCGACCACCTGAAACTGCTGGGTGCTGTCTGACCAACACCTGTCCTTCACTGCTCATATCAGGCAATTGGCTATTCGAGGCTCGCAGCGTCTCGGCCGCAAGTTCCTCCGGAAAGCCTCACGAGTCCTGGACTCCAGGTGCCGTGGTGTGATCTACAAGGGCTTTGTCCGCCCGGTCCTGGAGTACGGCATGTTCGTGTGGATGAGCGCTGCACCCACCAATCTGGCTCGCCTGACTATCATCTAACGCCGTGGCCTTTGCCAAGTCGGTGATGGAGCCTACCTCCCTAGCTTGGACATCCACAGAATGGTCGGAGCACTCTGCCACAAACTCCACTTTTCAACTGGCCCAGACATGCTCCTCAGCCTTCTTCCACCCCGAGCGACCAACACGGCACGCCATCGTCGACGCACACAACAGCAACCCTCACACCAGCGGCTCACCTCCACTCTTCCGCTCAGAGCCGCGGAATGATGTCCTTCGGTCCTTCCCTGACGCTGTTGTGGAGGTCTGGAACCAGCTCCCGCAGTGCGTTCTGCTGAACCAGCCAACAAGGAAAGGGCTGCAGACGTTCAAAGAGAAGCCTCTTCTGAAGGTCTACGCCCACCTGCGCCTTTCCCGCTGGAAGTGGGCAACGGACAGGCTATGAACCAAAGAAAATACCGTACTGGCAATATATGTTGCCGCAGTGAGGCCATGAAGCGTTACATTGGCACATGTTTGCCGCACGCAGGGCGTTACATGCAAAGTCGCACAGGAGCCGTTACACAGGTTTCTATATTGCCGCAGTCCTTTTTTTTGCTATTGCAGGACTTCCTGCTGCGTCCAGTTTTGAACTTTTCACCACGCGGTACACGTGCTTTCACAGTTTTCAGCCTTTTTTGCAATGAAAAGATCGCCGCACCCCGCCGGACGCGCGTTACGAACTCAACGAAAATTTGTCGCACTAGCCTGGTCGCGCGTTACGCCGCACCCCCCTGCGTTACGCGTAGCCTCCATTCACTTCTTTGATTCTTTCGTCTTTGATATTGCATACTTTCCCCCGTAATCCCCAGTTATCCCCCCCCCCCCCCTGCGTATTTTCTGTAATCTTTGTTTTTGTCGAGCGCTTGGGTTGCCGCGATCTATGAGATCGAGATCCTATGCCTATGGTCGGTCAAGCTGCCCTTGCCTACCCTCCCCCCCCCCCCCCCCCACACACACACTCCTGCCATTCCATATGTCTCATCGCTGCGTAGTTGCTTGCGGTTTTTCCTTGGTATCAAGAGTTTATGGACTCTTGTTGGTATGTTGTTGCTGTTTCTCGATGATGATAATTATCGTGATTTTGTCATGACAGGCGTCACATTTGAAGTTGACCCCAGGGCCACAGCCTTGGGTCTTTGGCCTTTTGGGTAGTGAATAAAAATCGAGACTCGCGTATATGGTACGCGATACACCATGCATGGTACACACGATTTTGGTACACACGATAAAGGCAAGTGAGGCTGTGTTTACATGAGGCGTTTCAACCCGGGTTGAGTTTGACCCGGGTCAGATTTCAACCCCCCATGTGCACAAAGTGAATGGCGCGTTTACATGACGCATTGCGCTTGACCCGGGTTGAAATTTCGCCCCGGGTTGATTTCAACCCTCCCCCCAAGGGGAGGGTTGAAACCAACCCGGGTCAAGAAAATCGTACAAACGTACTTCTGTGCGTATCTCGCGCCAGGTTTGAACAGCACTGCACATGCAAATTTCGCGCGAACGGATTCACGTGACCATAGAGGACTGTAGAAGTGGACTTTTGGCGGCATATCAGTATTTGACCCGGGTCAACTGTCTTCATGTAAACGCTCACCTCTTTTGTCTATCGTACAGACTTTCAACCCGGGCTGAACTCGACCCGGGTTGAAATTTCTCATGTAAACACAGCCTAACTAGTTGCCCGTTCGCGTTTCGTACTCAATTTTTTTCGTACTCAAATTGCCACTAAAAAGGCATTGCCCGATTGTACTACCTGTCATATTTGGTTAACACTTCCTCTGTACCTGTGTGACATGAAGCATTGAAGGTGATGCCGGAGTTGAGATGGAGAAGAGTTTGACCTTCCTACGTTGTCCAAGTGCTAGTAGCAAACTCGTATTGTCGTACTTCCAGTTCCAAGGCGTCACGCGAAGCTAGCTGTCAAGCCGGAAGCCTGCCAGAAAAGCGGAAAAAATACCAACCTCGCCTGGATTCGAACCTGCATGCACGTGTGTGTCCTTGCCATCATGTGTGGCACGTGTTATCTGTGTAAAACATGGAAAATGTTACCGGTACGCGGGGGACTATACCACAGCTACTGCACTTGTTTTGAGCTGTCCGAGGAGTGAAAAAATTGTCAGCACCGTTCTTGTAGTTGTAGCGGGCCGCGGGGCCATGAGATGGTTTGATTACAATCATATTTTAATAATAAAACGTCCGCCTGAGTTCTGTTTCAACAACCAGCAGCAGCCTTTTCCAAGTTGTTTTTGTCACTGTAGAAGATTATTTCTCTCTCCTTCCACTTGAGCTATTACTGCTGGTATCGTCTCTACTCTAAACAGTCCAGTCTATCTGCTAGTATTGTAGTAAAGTGTCGTGGATGTTCTCCAGTTTGTAGTGACTGTAGGCCTGCCAACCTTTGCCACACTCCTTCGCCGCAAAGCCACACAACCCTCCACCACGTGGACTATGCCTATTATCATGATTATGGCGGGGAGGCGCAGGTGGCGACTGGCGATAGCTGACACTATATTTGGTGCGTGTATGATATTGCAACTGCTGCTGGCATGTTCAAATCAAGCTCAAGGCCAGACAAGGTAAAATCCAACTGCAACACACAATAATATTGAAGTCGTTAGTGATTACATAGCAGGAGAAACTATTAGTTCTAGATCATTTCCTTTCCACACACATGATCACTGTATAGTGTGTATGAACAGTGATAACTGATAGGAGTAGTTTCCTACAAGTCCATTCAGAAAAAGATGAGTGCCGGCTCTGGCGAGCTCCCATATTTGGTGATTTTTCGTGATTTTGTGGTACATGTACACGGTGCAGAGCCACGAGATTTGAAACGTGAAAACAGGTCCAAAGAAGGTACCTCAACTGGGGTTCGAACTGCACAATATACTGTTATGCAAGTGGATTTTCATGATTTTTCAACCCCCAATTTAGTCCTTTGGGGGCAAAGCCTGGCCGATATCCTATTCTTGTTATGGCTTGCTTTTTGGAGAAATTGACTTCAGAATCATAATGGGAAGAGGATTCCATGGGGGATTGCCGAAGAAATTGTGAAAAAACTCGAAATGTGACCGACCGATTTATGGCCCAAAGCTAGGATATCATCTTTTTATGAACGGACTGTAGGAAGTAGTCACAGGTTTGGCAAAGGTAAAACTACGGAATATCTCTCACCAGATTGGTTATCACGGTGCATGTAACATAAAAAATAACATAAGGAGGGGAAGGTAAGCGCAACCAAGATAAGCACGAGCTGAAAGTCTCAGCTGTGAAGGACGTTGGCGGATGTTAATGCATGTCGATGACGATACTGGCAAGACCATTGGACAATACGGTCAAACCACGATTCAAGAACGCAAAGCAACATTCCACACAATTTGTGTGGCTCAAAAGATGCGAAGATCAATATAAGGGGAAGCTATGCGAACAAGAGTCGTAAACCGAACGCCTCAGTAAAACAGCACTGTACTTCGACTATGACAAATTAGATGGACACTAAGCAGCGGTAACAAGCAGCAGTTTCACACGACATCAACTTTCACACCAAGGTTCAACTCAAAGGTTCAAAGGTTCAACTCGAGTGACAGAAACTCGCTCAAACATGCTGCAGCGCTGTAAGTTGTAGCCTGCAGGCACGGTGACCAGGTGACTGGTGTACACACGAGCACGTGACCGCTTGTTCAGCCATGTTCGATTGGGAATAGGGGCCGAACGCTGCATCGCAGCCTTTTCGGACCAAAACCAGTTGACTCAGTGTCCAAAAGACTTCAACATATGGGCCTATCGCGGTCATCCGTGCTTTCGTAAGAACGAAATGCCGCTTTTAGTGACATTTTGCATACAAATCCCCATCTAGTAGGGCGCAGTCACCCAGTTTTGGTGGAAGTGCGCGAGTTCGATTGGGATTAAAGTAGGAAGGGAGCGTCTCAGCTTTCTCGGACCAAGACCATTCGACTCGGCACCCCGAAGACTACAACTGGTGAAATTTTGATTTTAGCCTTAACTTCCCCTTTGCTAATCCTTGCTTAACCTTGCTGAACCTGGCTGAACCCTGCTTAGCCTTCCTGATACTTGCTGATACTTGCTAAGCCTTGCTGATCCCTGCAAAGGCAGATATAGGGGTGGTGTAACCCGCTGAAAAAAGTTGATCACTGAGCCTTTTGAGGATACAGTTGAACATCGATTATCCAACCATCTGGGCAGCAGGCCCTGGGAAGGTGTTCGGGTAATGAAAATGTTCCGGATATTAGGAAGATCTCACCACAGGCCGATACCTGTGTTCGGTAAGTCACAGTACCCGTGACAACAGTCGTTTTCATGTTAGTTTTTGTAAGCTTTTGACTGTGCAGTCTGTACACAGTGGTACAGGCAGCGAGTGCACGCCGCAGCAACTAACTTTTTAGTGCAAGCCTTATATGCTCCCGTACGAAAATGCGTAGCCTGGGCCATGAGCAGGTCGGACACTCGATGTTCAACTGTAGCAGTCAACAGGACCAACTGAATCGACATTTCATAACGACTTTATTGTACGAGTACAAGTACATGTATGAGGGAAGAGCGTAATATAATGTGATGTTATATTAAAATAAACAAAGAGGAGAATGTAACTGCTATAAGGCAGAAATTGGTAGACGATAAAGATGAAAAGCACTTCGAACTAGCTTTCGTACAACTCTTGCTGAACCTTGTTGATCCTTCCTGATCCCTGGTGAGCCTTGCTGGACCTTGCTGAGCCTTGCAGAACCTTGCAGAGGCAGATAATTATGCAAGTGGGGTGGTGCAGCCCCCTAAAAAAACGTTGATAAAAATGTCAAAAAAATATCAAAAAATGTTGACCATGTTGATAATGTTGTACGGTATTGTTTGAAGAAAGGGGAGAGAGGGGGGGGGGGGAGAGAGGGTGAGAGAGGGGGGGGGGGGCAGACAAACAGCCTAACATGCTACAGAAACTAACTGAAAGCACTTTGCAGCAGCAAGGACAACAGGAGCATCAGAGCCAATGGCAAGTGTGAGCATCAAGTGACCGTGGCCTGAGGTGACCTCGGAGGCCGGCATGGGAGGCACGAACAAGTGAAAAGGGTTCCCTTCACCTTACAAAGGCAAGAAATGAAGAGGGAGGGCTCCTTTCTCTTGTCGGCAAGCATGGAGGCAATCTGCTTGTAGAAAGCAGAACCAGACTTGCCATAGGCACCCGGCTCACTGAACGCAATGGGGGAAAAGGAAACGTATTCAACGCCAGTTCACGGCCGCCGTCTTCGTAGACACGCCTCTTCTCTGCTTCATGCTTTCTAACGTCGAGGTTAACGGCTGGGTGGAGTCCCCGGTCTGAGCGATGCCTCCTGGGGTGGCTCTCCTGGAGGATGCTTTGAGATAAGGTCCTCTCGGACTCTGCATCGGCTGGTTTGCTGGAGAGGCACATTGAAGCCGGAACATCTACAGAAAGCTACAGATGAAATCACATCAATGAAGGACCGTTTGTGTGTAGCGGGTTGGAGGTTAAATGCAAGAATGACAGCTTCCGAATTCTCAGAAAACAACAGACCACAATAAAATTATACGGCCCCCACCTAAATACCTTGCATACACTACAACACACTACAACACACTACAACACACTACAGTATACACCAGAGCGTACAAGTAGTGGTATTTTTACTACTCCGTCTACACTACCAATGGTAGATGTGCATGCTCTCAGGTGGCGGCACGCCTGGTAGATCTACATGTGGACGGCGGGCCGAACCTCTCAGAGACCATGTGCATGGACCATGTTTTCATTGTAGGATTTGATTATTTCCTCAAGTTTTGCCTCATTGTCCTTCTTGGGAGTACACATTGGTACAATGGTGCTAGCTCTTACTGTAAAACCGGAAAGTCTAACGAGTCACAAAGTCTAACGTTTTAACGACCAATTTTTGTTCCTTATTTGAAGAAACGTTATCGCGAGATATCTGTGTAAAGATGTGCATACAGATGGGCGGCCAGGTAGCCATCGTTAAACTTTCTGCACGGTATCATACCAAAATTACCCCAAAACGTTAAACCTTTTGGCCGTTAAACTTTCTGGTTTTACAGTTTAAGTTGAGCACGTAGCGTGACACCAGGTTTAGCTCTGAAGCATGAGGATTGAAATACTGTCGCGACTACCAGGGTTGGGTGCGGCACTGATGTGATTCTTTTGTGCTGTGTAGGTTCTCCATGTGCTGTGTAGGTTCTCCATGTGCTGTGTAGGTTCTCCATGTACTGTGTAGGTTCTCCATGTGCTGTGTAGGTTCTCCATGTACTGTGTAGGTTCTCCATGTACTGTGTAGGTTCTCCATGTACTGTGTAGGTTCTCCATGTGCTGTGTAGGTTCTCCATGTACTGTGTAGGTTCTCCATGTGCTGTGTAGGTTCTCCATGTACTGTGTAGGTTCTCCATGTGCTGTGTAGGTTCTCCATGTACTGTGTAGGTTCTCCATGTACTGTGTAGGTTCTCCATGTACTGTGTAGGTTCTCCATGTACTGTGTAGGTTCTCCATGTACTGTGTAGGTTCTCCAATCTCCATGTACTGACTGCATGTGTGTTAGTCACCTGATTCTTCATCTTGTTCTTGCTCTTGCTCTTGCTCTTTTGTCCCTGGACACAGTTCATCATGTGACTCGGAATGTCCACCGCTCAGGGTGCCTGCCAATGCTGTTTTGCATCAAAACGGTACCAATGTTGGCAATACCACCGTCATCAAGTGTGTGTCCAATAGTCGTCAAGTCGGTGGTGACACTTCACGTACATGCCTACCCAACGGTCGCTGGACAGGCTATGACATCACTTGCTACACTTGTAAGTTGTGCTTACAGTTCCGTCGTGCAAACAACTGGCATCCTAACGTGTTCCTGTCTGACATGTGTAGTGTTAGGTTTGGTGATGAAAACAACTGACATGTGTAGTGTTAGGTTTGGTGGTGAAAACAACTGTACATCCCGCATGCAATATGTGTGACAAGTGTAAGTCTTCCTTGCTATGTTTGAGGCTAGGAAAGTACCGGCAAGGGCAGGGAGTTAGAAATAGGTTTTACAAAATTCGGTCTTGTATACCATGTCAAATGTATGTGAAAGCAGGTCCGAAACCCAGATTTTTCGAATTTTGGTGAGTTTCAGCCCAAATTCGGCCCAAATCGGGCTATCACAAGCCAGCGTTATCATTCTGTCAGAATGGAGTGTAGGTGAGCCAGGCTTCCGTGTCCACATTCTCTGCTTGCTTGTGAGAAGAAAGAAAGGTGTCACTTGAGCTGAGCCATCTTCTTCTCTTATTGCATTCACCGCGGCTGTCTGCAACTTCACACGTGCAGTTTCCATGTCTACATTGCTACTGTAGTTGCTGGCATTGCCTGACAGAGTGGCCGAGAGTGGCTGAGATGTTCTGGGCTATATGGCCGAGATGTTCTGGGCTATATGGCCGAGATGTTCTGGGCTATGCGGCCGAGATGTTCTGAGCTATGTGGCCGAGATGTTCTGGGCTATGTGGCCGAGATGTTCCGACTAGGGTATGTGGCCGAGATGTTCCGGGCTATGTGGCTGAGATGTTCTGGGCTATGTGGCCGAGATGTTCTGGGCTATGTGGCCGAGATGTTCTGGGCTATGTGGCTGAGGTGTTCTGGGCTATGGGGCCGAGATGTTCTTTGCTATGTGGTTGAGATGCGTTCTGCTATGTGCTGTCGATTTCTGTGACTTTTCTATTGCAGATGCGTCTCTTCTGAGCTGCTCATTCGCATACAGCTCTGAGTATTGTGGATTGAACCTGCCACGCAATGCATCGATAACACGAGTGAACGGCCGTAAGCTACAAATTGGAACTCATGTTTGTGTGTGGTATTGTGCACACGTGTGCGAGAGTGCTTGTTTGTGCATGCATGTAGGTTTGTGTGTGTTTAAATGATTTTTTTGCGAGTGCGCAACAATTAGTTAACACAGTAGGCGCACGCTCCTCACCGGACACTTCACAGTTTGTTTCCTGCTCAGAGTTGCATGTACATGTAGCTGAATGGTGACTCTCTTTGGGGAAAGAACATTTTTGAAACAGCTGGTGAGCTCAACTCTAAATGGGCTTTAAAGCAATTGTTCAGAATGCAAGCGGATGTTCAGTGTATTGTGTATGTGCAAATTTCGAACAGGGGGACGGGTTGGAGGGTATGGCGCAAAGAGGTTTTGTTGGTTAGAGGGAAAGACGCAAACGGGAAAAGTCTGAAGAAAAAATTGACTGTCACCACCAGGACTTTAACCAGGGACCTTTGTTTGAGGCCAGCGATGCTCTGACCACTGAGCTAAGGTGTAGCCGTCATCCCAGCAGAGACCGTTCAACATTTTCTTCAGACTTAGAACCTCACGCAGGTTTAGTCTAGTATAAATATGCATGAAGATAAAGGAAAAATCACTGAGTGTGCAGTACATTGTACATAGGAGAGGTGGCAAATTACTTGGATGTGCATTTTGAGTTGCTGCAGATTGCTTGGATATATTGACTGTGCCTTTGAGTACACACAGCCATGGACAATTCTGCAAAATGACAGCATTACATGTACTTGTCAGTGGTACAGGAAGTGGATAGTGCTCGGCAACACTATCGGAGTGCCGTAACTCCCGTACAGTGCTGCATAAAGCAGTGTCTGCGACGGCTCACCGAAATCTAGAACCAAAGCTACTACTCCCCGGGGAAGGTTGGTCAGACCTGGATCTGGATTTATTGAAACAAACGTGCGCCCGTTTTGGATTGATGTCAATCCAGATCTGACCGATCAAACATGTGATTGCACAGCGCTGCGAATAGACCGCTCGGTGTTAGCAGAAGTTTTACTCCACTTTGAAAGTAGTCAACGCAATAGGGGTGAGGCATCCTGCAGCTTCATGACTGAAAGAGAAAAAGTGAGCACGCATGCTCTTTCCTTGGACACCGGAAATTCACAACTCTGTTCACTGTATCGTTATCGACGTTTCGGCAAATCATGGCACTGTGAGGTGAGTTGTGAATTTGCAGCCTGAGTGTCCAGGGAAAGAGCATGTGTACTTACCATTCCTCTCTTTGAAAGTATTTAAACTATATATCACACATGCTGTTTCACGTCCATGCCTCTTCTCCCATTCTCTCATATGTTCAGATCGTGTTCTCAGGCTGGATGGAACCGATGGCCTCAACAGTAGGTGCTGACCGTCTTTGGCTTTTGCACTGGGCACTATACTGGTCATTGGGGCTGTGACTGTTTGGTCAGATCTAAAACTGAATACAGTTCCAGATTGCAGATCCACTGCCGGGACCCCTCATAACCATTTTTTGGTCTTCTTCATTCTGCAGTGTGCGGTCCGGCTATCTATTGTCTGTCTGTCTGTTTGCTTATCTGTCCTGTCGAAAGATATCTGTCTACGTCTGTTTTTTCCATATCTATCTTTCTACGTCTGTCTGTCTACGTCTGTCTATCAACATTGATCTGTTTACGTCTCGCTGTCCATGTATATGTGCCCACGGCTATGTGTCTGCATATGTCTGCCCACGTCGGTCTCTCCACATCTATTCGTCTACGTCTATCTGTCCACACCTCTCTTTCTGAGTCTGTCTGTCCACATCAGTCTGTCCATGGCTGTCTGTTCTTGCACCTCTGCCTCGTGTATCTCTGATTCTCAGCTGCACCTTCAGCTTGCTGCTGCTGCCTGGCTCTCGTAGTTGTGTGTTGTTGTACGCCTGCAGTGCGGTGCTCCAGTTTGAACTAGCCCAGTAAAACATGATGGGTGTGCCTGTGTTTGCCGTCCTTGTAGGTACGCTCAGCACATTCAATTCACTGCTGGCCAAAAATAACTGCACACTCACAGTCATCACAAGAAGGTTAGACTTTTCTTTACTGTGCCGTGTCTGTGTCAGTTCATACCCGTATTATCTCTAAAATAAGCACGGTCCTTTATTTTTTCAATGTACCTCCGCCCCGTGCTATTAATGGAGACGTTCCTTTATTGGAGACTGTTCCATTATTATTTCAACCTCATTTCAGAGGCATGTTGCCATGCCAAATTTATATGTCAGACACACACATTTCAGGGTTTTTCGCCGGTACAGATAATGAATTTACACAGTGTGCTTATAATGGAGACTGAGCACTTTATTTTTTGAATGCCGCCCCAAGGTGTTCTATTATTGGAGACTTGCTTTTATTGGAGACTGTGCTTATATTAGAGATAATACGGTATCTCTTCTACTCTTTGTCATTTAGCCACTCAGGATGCATGTAGTTTTCCCCGTTAAACGAACACGTCTCCAATGCTAGTACGTCTCCGATAGTAGTACATGTTGAACGTGGATCGAAAATATAAAAGGACACATCTCTAATAGTAGTACATGCCAGAATGATGTGATGGGCATTATCGGGGTACATGTACCTGGATCCACCTAGCTTAGTTTCTTGCCCATTTATCACAAGAAACAATAAAGGAACCGTTTCCAATACTAGTACAGTCTCCTTTAGTAGTACAGGGCTGGCTGTAGCGGTGGCTGTAGCGGTGGCTACTTACTATAGAGTAGTTTCGCCTGAATCTTTATTGCATAAGGGGGAACATTATCGGACACGGAAAAGCACAACTAACTACAAGGAGAGCAGAAATGAAGAGTGATTCCAATCGGGAATCACTGTGTAGAGAAGACAGAGAGCGGAATAGACTACGGTGCTGCGTGCACACAACAGCGACCGGAAGCAGCGTGCCCAGTGCGGGATGCCATGTATAGATGGAGCCCGAGGGCAGTGCACTCAGACATGCGTACGCACGCGCACCCGAGTACTGCATTCAGTGCGGGGACTGTGCCATAGAAGGGGAAGCGTTAGTGATGCGCAGCCAGCAAGTGTAGCGGTACATGAATGCATGCGTCAATGGTACAGCAGGCAGGGTGCGGTTCTTACACAAGTACACACGTTAGATCAATGCGAGTGAGTGTAGGGAGTAGGAAGGAGAAACCAGGAGACAGACAATGCTATGCCTAGGGATAGAGTTCTGTCATGATGCTACTCATTACACTACACTGGCCACCTTTGAAAATAGAAAATTACTGTACATTTATTGGGGATACTGTAATAATAATTATGGTATGTTCATTGTATGTTCAATGCCTTTTCCCCAGCAGCACATCAGCCCGCAGTGCGGCTCAAATTAAAATGAAAGTCCTGGTTGGCACAACATCGCTTCCGGATCCCAAAATTGAACTGTAAGTTAAAGCAATAGATAGTATCTTGACATTCGGTGTACTTGTGCCATGACGTGTGGTGGACAGGTTTGCCTATCTACTTTTGCATGTCAAAACAGAGAGGTTCCAGCTTCTTTTGCATGTCTGTCTGTCGGCCTGTCCTTTATCTCTCTTTTCCCTCTTTCCCTCTCTCTCCCTCCCTCTTCTCTCTTCCATGATGTGGCGTTCTGTCATGTCCGACCTCTCAGACGGGAAGTTCCACACGTTCCGGGCTCTGCACTCTTTGCCACAGCAGTCGCTATAGTTGCCTGTGTGTGCTGTCATTCTTTGTTTCTCCTGCTGACCAGAACTCAGCTCAACAGGCACTATATGTTCACCTACCCTCTGTCGTCCTACGCAGGATCTGTTTCCATCAGGCCCGTATCAAATTGTTTACATTTTTCCGAAGTACGCTTCACAGGCGAATGCCTTGTACAGATCACGAATGATTCAGGTATGTACATGGTGTTGGCCTTGGAACAGCTGTAGATAGAGTGGGGTCCTGTGTTTGCTGCCAAGTGTGTAGATAGTGTACATGATGTGCACTCATGCAGACAGTGGAACCAACATGGCTGCTCTAGCATGTGACCCCATTGATACAGGGATTGAATGGAGTTATAACCAGCGTGGCTGACATCACATGATTAATTGATACAGGTAACAGGGTTGACTGGAATTGGAACCATGGCTGCTCTGTGGCTCCGTACTATCGTAACAGCCCGTAATAAGTAGGGGTGAAACGGTTCCATGTTTTTCATGTTCGGGTACCCGAATGCCAGCATAGTTTCCCACGGTTCGGGTATCGGTTCCATGCACTCTTTTCTCCAGACCGACCAAATGTGTCGGTGACAATTATTTTCAAGTTAGAAAACATTTTTACGAGCAAGAACGAGACATCGGAGAGTCCATGTGCGAAGAAGGTACGCTCGTAGTGACCAGGATCGATAGGAGAACCCTTTGGAAGGGCGGTGATCGTAAGGTAAGACATTTTAAAATCTTGAGTAGACTTGGCGTGTACATGTATTTGTACGAGAACGAGATTTTTCGAGTTTCGGTTCGAAATTTGACGGAACGGGTACCCGATTCTTTTCAGCTGACGGTTCCAAAACCGGTTCCTTACCCGAACCGTTTCACCCCTAGTAATAAGGCCCTGGGCAGAACGTTAGTGAAGGTCCAGAACATGGGCGTCAATTTGCGCCTCGGTGCTAATGTGGGCTCAGGCGTTTTTTTCGGATAAGTGAAATCAGACTGATTTTCACATCATACCGTACTACTGCATGTGCAAATCAGGTAATAGCGCAGTGCACTGCACACTAAGTTATACTACAGCACCGTACATACATATGGAGCTGTGCATACACTGCACTGTGTAATGTACACTACACTGCAGTACCGTACATACATATGGACCTGTGCATACACTGCACTGTGTAATGTACACTACACTGCAGTACTGTACATACATATGGAGCTGTGCATACACTGCACTGTGTAATGTACACTACACTGCAGTACCGTACATACATATGGAGCTGTGCATACACTGCACTGTGTAATGTACACTACACTGCAGTACCGTACATACATATGGAGCTGTGCATACACTGCACTGTGTAATGTACACTACACTGCAGTACCGTACATACATATGGAGCTGTGCATACACTGCACTGTGTAATGGACCTGTGCTTTCGTCCATGGGCGTTTACACGGAGGTGGGCTAGAAAACGGGACACGAGTGTTGACATTGGGCCGCACCTGGGCGTGTAAACGGGTAGTGGGCGTCATACTTGGTGGGGCGTTTATACGGGCTTTTACGGTATCCTGTAATAGATGTACACCACCTTATTTCGTGTTGTCCTGGGAAAGAGCACGTGCACTCGCCATTTCTCTTTTGAGTATTTTATTTTTCACTTAAAAATTAAGTTAAAATGCTTCTCGTTGTCTCTCCAGCATGCAAAAATGAGTCAACAAACATCGCTTCACCCCAGCATCCACCGGCTCGATGCATATGCCCTGCTCATGGATGTTCAACAGGTTAGTTAAAATTTTCTTTGTGAGCATTACCATCAAGACATTGGTGCCGAGAAACAATAGTGTTCTGAGTGTTGAGTGTGCACCGCTAGAATTGTAGGATTAAAATAACCGTTAGAAGCGCTGACGGTGGGGTTTGCAATCAATTCCATACTTTACTCCGGAAAAAAAACTTTGTTCCCTGTCCAACATTCATTACACAGTGTTATGTTAAAGGGATGCAACTTTGCAGATACTAGTGTATGAGCGGTTTCTCAGGGGAAGTGACTAGCAACGCCTACGTAGCTGTGGTAGGAATGAGAAGTGAGGATGGCTCCCTAGACTCTTTCAGAAGTCTGCAGGCCCTCCTTTTTGCATTTTTCTCTAAATTTGCAGACCTGTGAGTGGTTTCAAGTTGTCCCAAAGAAGGGTACAGTCAGACCTCGCTTATCCGGTCCTCTTTTAGCCGGATCCCTCGCCATCCGGAAGAAAATCGTTGGTTATTCACAGCATATGTCATGTATAATTATAACATTATACAGTGTGCGTGTTCGATTATCCGGTTCCCTCGTCTATTCGATATTTTTTTGTGGAAAACGGATGTGTTAAAATAGCTATCAGTCACTAGCCAATTTTTTCAAGACATAACCTAGGATTCGAACCCGCGCTATCGCCCTGCATGCATTCCCCCGATACACTTCGCATACATACCTATTCTTCCTAGTTTCTTCACGTTATGATCTTGCATTTGAAAGCCCTATTTGAAGATTGTGGCCAGCTGTCTTTGATGGTACGGGACATGTACGGGATAGCGCCAGGCATGCCGACGGCACAAACACACAAACACGGAATTAAAGCTGTGTGGACCCTGGCTAGCGCCAGACGTTACCGAAGTAACGTCTTTTGCATAGCTACGGGAGTAAAGATAACCATGGAAACGGCTGACTACAAAATGTCAACTATTTACCTCCTGCCCACACCAGCCACACATTCTGCGCTGCAATGTTATCGCTTGAGCTGATTGTTCAGTAGCTGGTGTGGCTAGTGGACATTATAGCGTAACTTGTAGTTCCTTTGCACGTTTCTCTTTTCTATAGAGATCAATTAGAAGACACTACTTGCATTACATAATGGCAGAACGAACAAGGACGACACACACATTCCAACAGCTGTTTTGTGAATTGGCGAGACAGACTATAATGTCGTACTCACTTGATTAGAAGCCGGAGGCTTCTATTTTTTCAAAACCAATTTTGAGGAGGCTTCTATTCAAGAGGGGCTTCTATTCGAGAGGGGCCTGTATTGTTTCATTCCATACCAGTATTCCAATCGAATCTCTAAAACTTTCATATTCACAGCAACTCAGCCCCGAGTTAGTGGACACACTATGCTGACCAGGACATGTACCAACACGAACATGCACGGGGTGTTTTTTGCGCACTTGACCTTCATACATGGCACTAACTGGTCACCCCATGCTTTGCGAATAGTAGTCCGGGCTTCTATTCGAGAGGGGCTTGTATTTTTTCAAACAGTCCTTGTAGGGGGGCTATTATTCGAGAGGGGCTTTTATTCGAGAGGGGCTTCTAATCAAGTGACTACGGTATTTGAATATTGTGGCCAGCTGTCTTTGATGGTACGGTACGGGACAGATACGGGATAGCGCCAGGCATGCCGACGGCACAAACACGGAAATAAAGCTGTGTGGACCCTGGCTAGCGCCATACATGACTGAAGTAACGTCTTTTGCATAGCTACGGGATAATATGTATTTTACTCCAAGGCATAAGAATTATTGTGTTTTTCTGATCCCTGTGCCCATGCACAGATCTTGTTCATTGCAATATTTCAGTCAGGCCATGCAGGGGCTGGACTAACTTGCCAACCACAGCTGGTAATTCCTCTTTGCTTCATGTATCACTCTGACTGCTATGAAGGACACACTCCTCAGTATAACGAGGAGACAGCTCCGTTCCTTTCTGTCAGTTCTGTTTTCATTGGCAGTATTTTCATCCACTGTTTGTAGAGTGTGTCCACGACTGGCCTCTCTGGCCCATGCAATTACTAGTACCTGTCCTCTGAACTTCTTCCAGCTGTAGTACACATCATACTGTGTACGCATCATACTATGTAAACTGTAAAGGCAAGGGCTAGTAACCAGAAACCAGAAATGACTTACTTCTCAAATTACTAGCTACATGCATGTAGAGGGCACTGTCTGAGAAAGCAGGGTATTGTCCAGAAGGCATTCTCTCGTGGTTCACAGTTGCCTGGCCTCCGGGCACGTGTGTGTGTGTGTGTGTGTGTGTGTGTGTGTGTGTGTATGTGTGTGTGTGTGGATGTGGATGTGGATGTGTGTGTGTTCTCCTCTCTCTCTCTTTCCTCTTCCTCTCTCTCTCTCTCTCCTCTCTCTCTCTCTCTCTTCTCTCTCCTCTCTCTCTCTCTCTCTCTCTCTCTCTCTCTCTCTCTCGCTCGCTCGCTCGCTCGCTTTCTCTCTCTTCTCTCTCTATCTCTATCTCTCTCTTTCTCTTTCTCTCTCTCTTTTGCTGTCTTCGAATGTGTAGCTACCTTCCATTATCTTGGACCAATAATAAAGCCGCTGATCAATCAGGTGCAAGGTGGCATTGAACCAGTAATTGTCTTCAGGTCTGAGCATGCTCCAAATGGGTGTTTTCTAGGTTTTATTTTGATGTTGTTGTTTCAAATCTTTATTCTCACGATAGCCAGTGGCCAATAAGAGATGTTGTTGTTGTGTTGTTGTTGTTGTTGTTGTTGTTGTTGTTGTTGTTGTTGTTGTTGTTGTTGTTGTTGTTGTTGTTGTTGTTGTTGTTGTTGTTGGCATCGTTGGCATCGTTGGCATCGTTGGCATCGTTACCGTCTTCCTGGGCGGCTTGATCTGTATTCTCAATGTTATTGTTATTGTGGGTTTTGGCTTTTCACGACGGGTCTCTCGTTATCCCTCGTACGCCACCCACTCGTACACATGGAGCGCTTAGAAAGTGATATTGTCGTGATGCCTATTTCAGAGAGAAGAGGATGAATGAATGCCAACACAGGACACATCTCAAAACACTCGGCAACATGTACTGGTGTGTGTGTGTGTGTGTGTGTTTGTGTTTATCTGGCAGAACTACAGGGACACCTGGCAGCAATATAACTGTGGAAGTTAGATCGGCGTTGACCAGACAACCACTTAGGATGAAAACACTAACTGCAGAGTAGGTTTTTTTCCTCCATATCTACATATCTCCTGTAACTGCCAATCGCTCGTTTGTGTGTGGACATTGTATCGCTCGTTTGTGTGTGGACATTGTACATTGAAGGTGACGCCGATAGAGAGTCACCGACTCAAGCTGCAGAACACGTTCCGGACACCTGTCTGCTAGCAGTGCATGGATGTTTAGCGAACCGTAGTGTCAGAGACGTACAGTGGTTTGGCGCGAACCACGGTGGTGTTGTGGGAGAGCGTTGCCATCGGATGACTGAGCATATTGATATTGGGAAGTGCAGCGTTGAAGAACAGTGGCGGCATTTTTCCATTGGTGTTTGTGCGTGCTCTATTATGTGTGGGGGGGGGGGGAGGGGGAGGGTGGGTAGGGGGGGGGGGGGAGGGGGGGGGGGTTGTTTAGTGTGTAGGGGGGCTGGTAGGTAGGTGAGTGTGTGAGAAGGTGTACATGTATGTGCATGTGCATCTCAACTGTGTTTGTTTCTGTGTGTTTGTTTTGGTTCAGTTCAACTGGTGTCTACACTGTGTCCTCTCTGGTGTCGCTTAACGACACTACACTCCAGACATCTGCATCCTATCTAAGCATCCAAGGTTCGGGTAATCTAACATACTTGACCACTCGCCTGCCACATCTCTATGGTTAGTGGCTACTTAGTGCGTTCACCTGTTCCTGCAGCGACTTTCTTTTACGACTTGTCACCGGGGTGTCTCTTAAAACTACCCACTCTTGTACGGATGTCTGTCTCCCAGGCGATAATGACAGCAAACATGCCGTCACGCTGGGCTTCTGTTACCATGGCTACCAGGACTTGTGATCAGTGCAGCATGTCACTGCCAGTCACATCTTTCACAAGGTAGTCATCAGCTTTAAGTTGACACTTAATCTGGAAATTCGTGAATTTTCAGAGGGGCTCAGCTTCACCTACAATGCAGGAAGTCCTACTGAAAAATTCCGGTCACAACAGGAGAAACTACTCCAAATTACAAGTAGTATGGTACGATGCCTGCAGCTATTGAAAACAGCATGCAATCATTGGCGATTTACAACCCAGGCCATAGTAGCTGGTTGTATACTAGACCAGACAAAGACAGTACAGATACAGAATGGAGAGCACATGCTGCAGTGTGTGTGTGTGTTCTCTGTAGTAACCTTTCTAGGCCACTGTCTTTCCATGCCTCTGCGCTCTGCTCTCTCTCTCTCTCTCTCTCTCTCTCTCTCTCTCTCTCTCTCTCTCTCTCTCTCTCTCTCCCTGCTCTCTCTCTCCCTGCTCTCTCTCTCTCTCTCTCTCTCTCTCTCTCTCTCTCTCTCTCTCTCTCCCTGCTCTCTCTCTCTCTCTCTCTCTCTCTCTCTCTCTCTCTCTCTCTCTCCCTGCTCTCTCTCCCTGCTCTCTCTCTCTCTCTCTCTCTCTCTCTCTCTCCCTGCTCTCTCTCTCTCTCTCTCTCTCTCTCTCTCTCCCTACTCTCTATATCTCTATCTCTCTCTCTCTCTTTCTCTATCTCTTTCTCTCTCTCTCTCTCTCTCTCTCTCTCTCTCTCTCTCTCTCTCTCTCTCTCTCTCTCTCTCTCTTTCTCTCTCTCTCTCTCTCTCTCTCTCTCTCTCTCTCTCTCTCTCTCTCTCTCTCTCTCTCTCTCTCTCCTGGTTGCGACGTCAACAAAAACACTGGTCGGAAGATCCACTTTTCTGAGGTACTGTATGTGGGGCTCCGTTTATTGAGGTGCGTTGAAATTTATTCTCTTTATCTTATTATTTCTTTTCTATAATTTCCCCATATGAGTTCCTATCAGTTGCTGTGTGTTTCGGGGTAAACAAGTTAGTTGTTTACGATAGGATTATATTCTCACTTGGCCATTGTAGGCAAATCATAAGAACCCCGACATCTAAAGGATCCTGCATGAAAGTAGGCAGCTGCAAGATGCGTATCTCGCGCATGCTCTTGCATGGCTACGTAATGCATTACGTGATATTAACGGCGTGTTCACAATATAGAACATAACATCCAACAATAGCTCTATGTACAAGGTAAAAATCATGAATGGCACACGACGGCATGCTAACAATACAGAGACATAGTATCCAACAATAGCTCTATGTACAATATAATAATGGCACCTCAGCTACTGTGACATAAGCGAACAGGTCCATGAGGCCTCTCTGGCCCTACACATCCAGGATTGACCTGGGTGCGACTGCGCGGCCAGACCGTGTTCGATACAGCTGGGCGGCAGGTTCAGCAGGCTGGCTGACGTCACACGGTGACGACGGCTGAGACTGGCTAACGTCGCTCCACGGCGACGGCACGTAACTCGGCGGCTGAGGCTCGCCAATGTCGCTGTGCGTCGACGGCTGAGGGCCTGCGGGACTGGCATCCGGCGGGAAGTGGACCCGCCTCTCTCTGAGGTGGGTACGGTTGCGCCGCACTTCTGTCCCATGGTCAGGCTGCACCATGTATGACCGTAGCCCGTTGGCAGACCGGGTTACGATACCAGGTTCCCACAGGTGCGTGGTCGGGCTGCGGATGCCGACGTGCTGACCAGGAACTAGGGGGCGGAGAGACTGCGCTCGCTGGTCATGGTGTACTTTCTGCTGGTCCTGCTGTTCCTCGAGCTTCTGTCGGATGGCCTCGTCCCGAGTGTCGCGCTGGTGTTTGCGAGGCAGGTTGTCCTGTACCTGACGACCGAACAGCATCTCGGCCGGCGGCGGTAAGCCCTGGCACACTGGGGTGGCGCGAATGCACAGCAGTGCTAAGTGCGGGTCGGTCCCGCTCTCCCTTGCCTTTTCGAGAGCTCTCTTAGCGATCTTGACTTGTGATTCGATAAACCCGTTACTCTGCGGGTGATGTGGCGACGACGTACTGTGGCGGAATCCATATTCGGCAGCGAACTCCGCGAACAGATGGCTGCTGTATTGCGGCCCGTAGTCCGACTTCAGCACGGCTGGGATGCCGTGCTCACCGAAAATCTCCTTGAGGTGCTGGATGATGGCCCTGCTGGTCGCTTGTCCGGCAGGCAGCTTCCGGGTGATAAAGTACTTGGAGTAGTAGTCGGCGGCAATGAGGTATTCTGACCCGCCGAGGTAGAACAGGTCCGTGCCTAAGGTGTGCCATGCCCTTGCGGAATATCGGGCTGCACCAGTGGTTCCTTGGCTTGACTGCTCTGGTGGCGCTGGCACGTCGTGCAAGATGAGACAGTTGCTTCGATATCCTTGTTGATGTCCTTCCAGAAGACGGACGTTCTGGCTCGCAGCTTGGTCTTCTCTATGCCTTGGTGGCTGGCGTGCAGCTTGCTGAGGATTTCCCCCCTCATTGGTGGGGGAATCAGGACGCGACTGCTCTTCAGGATGAGACCGTCCTCGGTGCTCACCTCGTCGCGGAAATTCCAGTACGGGAGCAGAATTGCCGGCACCGCGCTCCTCTCTGATGGCCAGCCACTGAAGATCATCTCCTTCAGTGCTGACATCTCGGCGTCTTTAGCCGACTCCTCGCGGATCCTCGTCATCGCCGCATCGCTGAATTGCGGGAACACGGCGTGTACACTGACGTCGAGGTCCTCAATTGGCTCTGTTTCCTCTGGCGACAGTCGGGATAGCGCGTCTGCGAAACGGAATGTCCTTTCCGGGGCAGTACTTGATGGTCATGTCGTACGGCTGCAGCTTCAGCAGCATGCGCTGTAGACGCGACGGGGCTGCACGGAGGTGCTTGAGCTTGATTGACTCCAGTGGCTTGTGGTCGGATTCTACTGTGAATGACTGACCGAATAGGTAGGTGTGGAATCTTTCACACCCGTATACGACAGCTAAGAGCTCCCGCTCAATATTGGCGTAGCGAGACTCCGTCTCGGTAAGCTTCTTGCTGGCGAATGCAACAGGCTTGTCGTCCTGCAGCAGAGTGGCGCCGAGACCTTTCATGGAAGCGTCGACTTGTAGTGTCGTTGCCTTGCCTGGGTCAAAGTAACTGAGCATTACTTCTGTCGAAATGGCGGCCTTGACCTTGTCGAAGGTGCGCCGGTGGCTGTCTGTCCAGGCGAACGGTGTATCTGGCTTGGTCAGCTCACGCAGGTGCGCGGTCAGCGTACTGGCATTCGGTATGAACGGGCTCATGTACGTGACTAGCCCGAGGAACGTCTGGAGCTCATCCTCATTCTCGGGGTGCTCCATCTGCTTCAGCGCTGAGACCTTCTTCGGGTCGGGCTGTATTCCGTCAGCGCTGCAGATGATACCGAAGAACTTGATCTTGTCCTCTTTGATGCGGCATTTGTCTGGGTTCAACTTGAGACCAGATTGTTCGCAGCGAACCATCATCTGGTGCATGTTGAGATCATGGTCCTCGTCTGACGTCCCGTATGTGACGATGTCGTCTGCGATGCCGGTGACGCCTGAGCACCCTTCGAACGTCTGGTCGATCCTTGCTTGGAAGACATCTTGCGACATCTTGAGGCCGAATGGCATGCGAAGGAATCTGTAGCGCCCGAATGGTGTGTTGAAGGTGGTGAGGTAACTGGATTCGTCCTCGAGCTCCACATTCCAGTACCCACATTTGACGTCGACGATCGAGAACACTTTGGCACCTCTCAACTTCAGGGTGATCTCCTCAATGGTGGAGACCACGTGATGCTCTCGCAGGATGGCGTGATTGAGGTCCTTGGGGTCTAGGCACAGGCGTAGCTTGCCATTGTCTTTGAGGCGGAACACGAGGCTGTTCACCCATGCTGTTGGTTCGCCTTCCTGGATCTTGGTGATGCCGTTCTGGATCATGTCCTCCAGCTCCGTCTTGATCTCGTCTCTCAGTGCGATGGCGTGGAGGTGGCGTGGAGGGTGTACAACTGGGACGACGTTGGGGTCCCCCGTGATGTGGTACTTGCCTGGTGAATTCCCAATGCCATCGAAGCACTTCGGGTATTGCTTCATCAGGCCGTCCTTGTCTCGGATGCTCGCTGGCTTCTCCTGGACAGCGCAGTTCAGCGTGACTAAGGGGCCATCCGTAAATATCGATAGTTTTTTCAATCCGTGAATTTTACAAAGTAACCAGGACCCACCACCCACCCCCCTACTTTTTACGGAATAAAATATTGATGACACATGTACTGTACCTACATAAAATTAAATGTAGGTGGAGTCCATGGAGTCCATACACACGCAGGCATGCGCTCGCCGTGTCATTCATAACTAGAGTACAGCAATGTATTTTGGCAGACTTATGCCAGGAATGTTGTCCAAGAATCACTTGCTCTTCAGCTCATTCCTAATACATCATACCCTTTATGGGCAATCAATCCAGCAAGCACATGCATAGCTGAATACATAAGAAACCATACAGAGTATGACTATAACCCAGCAAACATACTGTTGTTCCATTTAGAATATTAACGCACCCATATTGATGATGCAGGTGACTCAGGTGAATAAGTATTTTGTACAATATCAACAAAAGCTCTGAAAAGCAATGCTCCGGTGCAATGCGTACTATTAAGGCTTTCAAGAAGCCCAGTGATCAGAGTTTGATTGCTCATTTTTTGGCTGCAGCTGGTCTACCCCGCTTCAATGCATGGCCTTCCTGCTTCTTGTGCAGTGTGAGCTGATGGTAGGAAGTGAAGGACATGCCACATCCACCAAACGTGCACTTGTGGCATGTCTTCTTCGCTCC